CTGGGCGCAGCTCCTTCGCCACCGCCCCGGGCAGGCCGCAGCCCTGCTGCCGTCCTTCCGCAGCTCAGCCCGACCCGAGGCACGTGGCACACACCGTACGTACATGGCACTGTTGACTTCTGAGACTCAACAACTCCTTCCTCAGATTCCAGCTCCTGGAGACAACGGATGACAGGAAAATCTCATCTTAAGGTTGTTTAATATGATCACATAGCCCTGCTAATTTTAGAAACAGAACTAAAAGCTCTGACATAACTGCAAGGCATAGAAAGAACCAAAGTCAAAAATCTAACCAGGGCAAAAATAGATGGCTCTCATTGCTATCTTATGTGCTTGCAGTTCACAAGCCAATCTTGCAGCCTGCGGTGCAAATTCACACTTGCCTGGCAGTAACAGCACTGCAGAACTAATTCAGGCAGTGGGTGTAACCCCCGGAGACCGGCGCTTTGCTTGGGGGTGGTTGGAGGAACCTCAGGTTCACTGGAACCCGAGAACTTACTGAGCTCCGCCTGCTTTCTCAGGCTGAAGGCAACAGCAGAGAGAGGCACACTTCGTTTGTATCCATAGAAAGGCATCTTTTATTACAAACCGACCCAGTAAATCACAGCACAGAACTCAAATGTACAAAGTGCTTTTGAATTTGCTGAACCTTACTGCCACAGGCTCTGTGGCAACGATTCAGGTTCCAGTGCCTGAATCCCATAAAGCAGAACTCGAAGCTACGCCCTCGGCGCGCACACAGCTGAAGGGTGTGCAGCAGGTACTCCCACTTACGTTATTATCTCGTTTGAAAATATTGCTTCAGATTCAACAAGGCGTGTGCCTATACATTTCCAAGGGACACAACCATGCATTTACTTGCTTTAAAGTGAAGATAATATACACAGTAAAACAATCAGATATAAATAAATTCACCAAGATAAGCAGTATATTTCAAAAACAGATTTTGGTTCTAGTTTACATAGTAAAAAACTCTAAATTTTCCTTGTATTTACAAAAAAAATAGATTTATACTAGCATAGACAGTATTAAAAATAATTTTCATCTTCACTATAATCTATTAAAAGATGTCTCAGAATAAATAGCAGCAAAAATTAAATTTAGTATTTTTCTTCATTAAGGCTGAGGTTTAGAAGTCAAATCCTACAGTCATATACACGTGTGTGATTTAACATGTATATGAAAGAGGATTTGACTCCTCTCTTTTTTTACAATAACAACGAACGTGCAAGCATTGTCTAAATCTTCTGTTGAGTCGTTCTTGGACTGGTGGGTTGCAAAGCTCTTTCACCTCTTTTGACCTCATGTGGGAATACAGCCCCAAAAATATCTTCATGGTATCGCTTCTGGCTCTGCAAAACAAGAAAGGAAACCCGAGAGATGAAGTAAATACGGCCAGCTCCTCCTCACGCGACAGCTCTGCAACTCAAGGGTCTTTTGCTTTCCCGAGAGTGGCTCTGTGCTAGGGGACTCTGTTACTGCCGCTGAAGGGAACCTGTCTGAACGCGTGCTCCAGCACAAGTTCCGATAGCAAAAGGGTCCTAAAACCCAGCAGACGTGGGCACTGTGTTTTCAGTGATGGGCCCCCTCATTTCTTAAACTTGCTTTCCCTCATTGGTACAATGAGGTCTGGAACTCCTGATGTTCCAGACACCCCGCAAAGCTAATGCCCGGGCCCCAAAGGTGTGAGGAGGAACATGGTGTGTCACTCACACACGCTGACCAAACAGAAACTACGTGTTTTAACTCATGGTGGGTGGGCTAAGCTGATCACTTCAAGCTTTTTTCCTTGGGCATTCTGCTGAAACGCAGCTCACAGCAGCCTGCAAGGTCTCGAGCGTGACTTCGAAGCCTTCTGTCACCATCGTGGAACACAGCCTGACTGGAGAGAGTACCTAGCACACCACAGCGTACCTTCAGCTGGAAGAAGTACTCCTCTGCCTGCGGCTCACTGAGGTGCAGGTGTTTTGCCAGCATCCCTTTCACAGTCTGAGCAACATCCCTGGCCATGCGTACGTCTCCACAGACGTACAGATGCCCTTCCTCCTTATGCAAGAGGTTGCACACTTTGGTCTCCAACTTGCTTTGAAGAATGTCTTGAACATAGACCTTCGAAACAGAGAAAAGATCATTAGACAAAGTTTCTTAAATGCTACTTTGGCTACTGGCTCTTCTAAATTCAGCGTGGGTCTGTGCAGTAAGGTTCCAAACGCCCTGTCTCTTCCAGCTGTGCGCTACAGCACAGCAAAGGAGAAGAAAAGTGTCTTCACGCTGTCTTTACAAGCCCGAGATCAGGAGGCTAGACCTGTCTCCTGGTTGAACTAGAGCAGACTACGACTACTCTTTTTTCAGAGCCAGTTACAACTGCTGAAGCCTCCTGACTTGCCAGGAGAGCATGATAGCTGAAAAGAGGACAGCTTAAGCACTGTTTTCTCCAATCAAGATTTAATCTAAGCAAAATTAATTTCCAGGGTCACTGTGTCACTGAAATGGTGACAAACGGCCAGAGCCAGCTCGCTTCTGCTCAGGGGCTAATCAAATCCTGCAAAATTTTAGGTTTCTGAAAATGTTCCAGCTTCTGGTTTCCAACGTGTTTACAGGTAAGGTTTGGATTATACGTCTATCACACCTCTCTGCACGGCAGTGAGGGATTTGTATTTACATAGCTTGCTCGTACTGAAGCTCACACTGAGTTTCTCCTCTGTTTTGAAGGAGCAGAGCCTTTTGTCATTTGTTCACAATACACTGAAGCAAAATGCTGACATTTTTTTAAAGAACATTGTTAAACAGAGCCCAAATCTTAACTTGAATGACCGTTCTGAAAGGAGCCAACCCTTAAGGAACAAAGGAGCCAGCCTTACTTTAGCTTGGCCAGGCTGCCTGGAGTAAGCTGCATAGACCTCGTTCAGGACTCCCTTCCTCTTCATTTCCTCAGTTTCTTCTTTGTAGATGTGATCCACGTCTGGCTGCCGGCAGCCAAACAGTAACGTCATGTCACCACCTTTGATCCCTGAAACCAACAAGGAAGAGCTTTTTGTCTTTCCTGGTAAGGCCCGTTACCTCTTATGCCTGTTCCCAGAGGGCCCTGTTGTCAGGCAGCTGTGTGCAGCTGTCTGCACGGCTATTTTCTCCTTAGCCTTTCTCACTAAGCGCCTGAGCAGGAGAGCGTGTGCGTGTCTGTGTGTGACAGCTGGTGATTTTAGGGTCTGGCAGTAGGACTGAACCTGCCCATGTCCTTGGAGAGCTGCGTGGAGCAGGTTGCCTCAACGGGCTGACGCAGGCAGGCCCAAATGTTCCCTCTCCCTGCTGCGGCGCCTGCGCGAGCACCTGGGACAAGGACACAGAGGCTGCTCACTCCAGGTGACCAAACACCTCAAGCTGACCAGCATGGTCTCAAGTGGGATGGACTAGCTGTTTCAGTGCAGTGTTCCGTCAGTCTCGGGATGACAGATCTCTACAGGGTTCACTGGGCTAATGTTCCTGGGCGTCTCCATCTGCAGAGATGTTGTCTGGAGGACTAGGGGTGTCTTCAGCTGCCGGACGAGTCACGGCCTCTCCCTTGTGGCAACCCCCATAAGTACCTTTCTGTTCCAAGTCATAGAGACGCTGCTGCCAGAAACTTCTGAAGGGAGCAATTCCTGTTCCTGGGCCGATCAGAATGCACGGCTTGCTTGGTTCCTCTGGGAGCTGGAATCCCTTAGCACTAAAACACAAAAATACGCTAATTAGGTAATTAGTTTATGACTGACTTCTCACTGCCAGCTTCCTGAATGACTTTGAGCAGCACAGCCTAAGTTACCAATCTGAAAACAGTAATGGGGCTTAACTTGGTGACGGCTGCTTCTTGTTTCCTTAGCTTTACTTGCTTTATAGCGGATATCCTGACAGTGGTGATGGTGTCATACACATAGAATCCTTTCAGAACTTCCTAATGATTTATGATTTTACTCAGCATAAGAGACGGTAAAGGATCTCATCTCTGGAAGACAGGGAGTTCCCTCACTTCTCAAACTCAGATATTCCGGCTGGCACTCACCAGTCACTTGAAAATCATATGCAAACAATGAAAAAAAACCCCAAACCAACCTGAAGCAGCTGAACTAAGCACCATTGTGGGGTTTTTTTGGTTCTTTTTTCCTCTGTCATACACTCACCTGCGTATAAAGCATGGAACTGTTTCATTGAGAGCTACTGTATTCAGCCATGTGCTGCAAACTCCATGGTGCAAAGGCCCTTGTCCATCTAATCGGAGCAAAGGAAAAAGCTTCTGTGAGCATTCAAAAGCACTCCATTTTTTAAAAAAGCACCGTTTATATTTAAAATTATGGCTTGTAATGATTTATAAAACAATGCTGATCATCACTGATGATAATGGAGGATTTTAGCAAATCCCGACACAGTACGAACACTGCACGTATCACACTACCAACTCCTTGTTACAGACATGCTTCATGCCATACGGCAGACACAGTTTTATTCTGAACCACATTGCTGCCTAAACATCATTTCATTAAGAGAGACGTGACAACAAGAATTCATTACCTCTTGTCTTGTAGTTTACAACTGCCACTGTCAGATGAATCTCTCTGGGTGTCATGTCACAGGAGGAGCTGACAGAATAGTACCTGGGTTTCAGAAGCGGCAGCTGAGTCAGTAAGAAAGCTGTTGAGACCTCAGCAGAAGGAAACTCCTCCAGGACCTCCAGGATGTTCGGGCTGTTGTAAAACTTCCATTTATTGTATTCTTCTGTGCTCTAAAAGCCAAAGGCCACCATCACAATGTTACCAGGTCATGCTGAGTTCAGGAGAGCAGGGATGTTTGAAGTGTCACTTATAAGATTCCTGCTTTCCATTCAATTAAATACGCAGGCAAATCAACCAAGAATTCTCAAAACTTTGCCTAGACCAGTACTGGGATTTCCTAAGAAATTGTTTAATTTTTGAAAAATTAAGTACAGAACATCCGCTGTATCTTCTCAGAGAGCAGCGCTCTCTGTGAGGATGCAGAAGCTGAAGCAGAACCTGTTTCTCAGCCCCCTGCCACGGGACATCCACAGAACTGTGTGGGCCCAGGGGCTGATACCTACTGAGCCTTGCTGAACCCAGCAGAAGCAAGTGCTTACCACAGCTGTGAGTCACTGGTTACTTAAAGCGTCGTCCTTCCTACTCTCACGGTACCAAATTCTCTGACAGGATTATCTACCAGCTCCCCTCTGACCCCTCCAGCCGCAGACTGCAAGGTCTTTTAAGGGTGCGTCCTCAGAAACCACCACAGACAGGCAAGAGAAAAGAGGCAGGCGAAGTGACCCGCCCAGAATCACACAGGAAACACCAGAAATGAAGAAATCTCTTGACTCCCACGCCCAAGCTGAGCCACAAGACCACCCTTTCTCTCACTGTGGCTGGTTTTACAAGCACTCGGAACATGTAACAGAGATAAACATCAAGCACCATCGCTACAAAAATTTCTTAAGCTTCTGCTAAGCAGTAAAAGGGCATCAGGTGGTCCAGTACACAGCACTTCTAACACACATCCAGCCTGAACACTTACCTGACACAAAACTTCTAGTCTCTGTCTGTCTCCTGCTGCTGTTACCAGCTGGGAGAGTTTTCTCAGCAGTTGTTGGGAGGGTGGAGTAGTGATATCAAGCAAGTATGTTAAAGCCTCGGGGAGTGTGCAGGCTGGAATCTTTTTGTCCTTTGTCCAGTAGCCACCTGGAAATGAGGGAAATAAAAGAACACTTGTCAATTCCCATGGCATTTGACAGCTGTAGAGCTTTGCAAAACTCGGTGTCCTTCAGAGTACACCTTCAGACTAGGTTGCAGCAGGCCTAGACCACAGGGCCCTTCTGAAAAGAGTTTAATGTGCAGGTTCAAACTTATTGTAAGAGGAGGATCTGACGCAGAGAATTGCACGATAACAAAATACCGCTTTAAAATCAAGTCCTTCATTTGAGGAAATTATCTTTCTGTCTGTCAGAATCCTGTGATTTAGCAGATTGTTCCTACTAAGATGGAAAAGATGGTCATGACATGTAAATCTATTTTAGGAGTCTGATACGTAGCAACAATAAGCAAACTCTGTTGATTAATTTAATTGCGGTCCATGGCAAATTTAGCAACTGAATTACAAACAGCGTCAACCGAGGATACTCTGCGAACACTGGCGAAGTCACCATGGACTGCCAGAGCATGCAAAATCAGAATCGAGAATTATGGGAATAACTAAAGCATCCACAAAATCCTACTGAAACTTAAGAAAATGGTAATTGAATCAAATCCAGTCTATAAAAATTCTCAGGAATTTTAGAGAAATCTGTCAAACACCTCGTGTATTGTCTAAGGTAAACCAACTTACCATCAGCGCAGGTTTCAAGCCTGATAGTCTGATCAGCTGGAGGGGCATCCTTGACATGTGCAATGACGCCATGGACTAATTCTGGCTGGTTGCCTGGGAAAATCCCAATATGTTCTCCGGGCAGGTAGCGCACTTCCTGATTAGTCTCACAGGAAAGCTTAACTAGAATGGTAGCACGACTAGATATAGAAAAAAAGAGATCAGATAGATCTTAGTTACGTTGACAGGATTTCCCTTGAATTGCACAGAAAAGGAATAAATCTGAAGCGACAGTTGGCAAGGGCTTGTGTTCACTACCAAATATCAGACCACCTTAGTACTGCACGGAGACTTCAACAAATACTAGCCAGATACGCGAAGTACTGGTATCAAAACAATTAAGATGCTGAAGTGCTGCCTGATCTGTCCCGTGTAGAGTAAACGCGCCTGCAATCAGTCAATGAAAGGAAGTGCAGCTCTCCTGAAGACTGAACAGCTCACATCTTCCACCAGCTCGGAGGGCTTCCCATAAGACGACTGTATTCAGCACAGGGATGAGAGACCTACTGCAGGATGTTGAAGAGCCACTCACAGACGTCATTTCTAAGACAGATGTCAGCACTAATTATCCTTTTGTATTTCTTTGTGTATTGTCTCAGCTTGCTTTGCAGTACAACTGAATGCAGCAGCTTCTTGCACTATACCTTGTCCTTTTTTTCTGCTAAGGAGCAATTTTTCCCCTACATGAAGTAAACATTTGCCTGGCATGTAGCATACCAAGCAAGGGAAAGGGACCATACCACAGACCTTCCACATTCAGTAGGTATCAAAAGGACACATCACAAAGTTCTTTAGATCCTTACACTCCCAGAGACTCTACCAGGAAGTTGCTCCTGTCTCAATTGGAGATAAGACTGTACTATTCTTGTACTATACTAGTCTTGTGATAATGATTTACTTCTACTAACAATGGTAAAAAATTCACACATATTTCTTAATAACTGCAGGGTTAATAACAGTTTGTAATATATATTATATATAATATATAACAGTTAATAACTGTTTATAACCAAGCATTTCAGATGTTTAAGATTTTAGTAAAATGTCGTATTGCAATATTCAAAAGAATGAGGTATTGTACCTGGATTTTAAACTTTGAAGATTCTGTCTGAATTTCAGCTTCATGGGAATTATATCCTTGGCATGAATGTTTGCAAGCGCTGTTGAGAAAAGAGGACATGACTCACAGAAATTTTGTGACTAAGTTTGTTTAAAATGTCTTCAAATGATATGCAGAAAAGAACTGAACCATGCTCGCCCTAGAACGCGATATGCTTTTAGTCAGTTATGTGTCCTATATGCATGCCTGCCCTGACTAAAGTAGTACATCTCAGCTTCTGTTCTTCTAGGGCTGTCAAAACATGTGCTAGTTCTCATGTTCTGATGTTACTGCGCTGGAAAAGATAATGATTTATGCAATGTAAACCAATGGCTTTTTTCCTCTGGCCACTGTACTTTACCTTACGAATTCTATCACCTAGCAGGACCAATACCACTTCTAGAAAACCTTTACAGTTCAGACCTGTCTGAGCAAAATGGACAGAGGAAGTGGCAGGTGGGAGGTAGTACCTTTGGCCAAGTCCATGGTTTGAGAGTCATGCACTATCCTGTAATTCTTAGGATCCCAGCTTTCATCAGAGGTATATACCTTGGGCAACTGAATACTGTTTTTCCCACGGATGTTAAAAATGTCACAGGCAGTCTAGAAAACAAAAAAGAAAAAATTAAGGCTATTCACAGTAAAAAAAAAATATTCTTAGCATTGTCATAATCCTAATGGGGACATATCAATTTCACAGATTGCTATTGTTTATTGATTCTGGTGAGCTCAGGGGTTCAGTGAGTTCAGAAAGGTTCCACTTCTACACTAGAATAGCTGAAAAAATTATCTGCTTTGAAAAATTCTGATGTCTGACGCTACCACCCTTGCTCATACTGAGTATTCCACTATCCAAAAAAGGCTTCATGTAACTGTATACGAATACTAAAAAATAATAGAAAAGGGGCCCAGTTCCCTCTGACTTAGGCAAGCAGTAGAAAAGGGGGGAGTTTGAAATTCAGATATAAATCCAGATGTTTATTTTCCTTCATTTCCCCCCACTTTTATGGGATGCTAATGAATACGGAAATAAAATTAATTAATGAACGAACTAAAATATGGGCTAAGTATTCGTATAGTCACCTTGAATGCACTAACTGCCCACGTGCGAAAGGCTTCTTCTTGCCCATTAAGCTCATCTCCTTCACCCACTGGAGTGAGCTGAGAAGCCCCTAGTTGGGCCAGTTTTTGGTCAATGGCATGAGCAAAGGCACAGAACTCTGGATACATGCTGGACCCCAAACCAAACACAGCATATCTGCAAAACAAGATAAAAATAAGATCACTGTGTTATGCTAAATGAAATGCAAAAGGACTTAATCACATGCAAATCAAACAAAGTATTTCTACCTGATTTTTTTTCTCAGTAATTTCAGGGTGAGCAAGGAGTTCTTCAAGGTCTGTATAAAAATTCATAAAATACTTCAGGTTAGAAAAATAGTCTGATTTAAAAGAGAACTGAGTCCCTGATCCACATCTTACTCAAGTACATGGGACAAAAGGAAAGGTTGTCTTTGGTCTCAGTCTTTGAGCTGAGCCTCATATATACTTCTGTGGTGAATATTACCTTTCCGTTATTTGGGGAATCTCCATTTCCGAAAGTGCTAGTAACCACTAAAAGAAGTGTTTCTTTTTCGAGGTCACAGATGTTGTACTCATCCATGCACAGAATCTGGAAGGTATAAAGCTCATGATAATTTGTTAGCAGTCATAAGAACTAGTATTAGATACCTCTGTGATTATCAGATGACTGTTGACCAAATTTACAAGGCATTATGCTAAATGAATACAAAATCAAAGTTCTAGTCCAACTTATATTTATTGGACATTCAAAACCTAGGTTTAGAGAATGAAAAAGCTTGCAGAAGCTGATAAAACTAACTGAACTTCTCTCTCTATTTAGCGTGGGTGATTTATACTTTCTTACCTTAGTGTTGAAGGCACAGTTGAACAAGCTGCACAGATTGTTGGCTAGTGTTTCAGATTTCCCAGTCTCTGTTGCAAAGATTACAGTGACCTTGGATCTGGTTGCCATTGTTTGGTGCATGAGTGAAGATGCAAAGAGTATGGCCCTGAGGAGGGGGGAGGGGGAAATCACATATAATATTTAATATAGCTACACAGTAATGCAGATTGATTACAAACATGCTAGGAAAGACTGATCTTGAGCATCGCTCTTCCTTGGAAGATTGTTTGGAAGCAATACACTATAGAGAGCCCTCAATAACAATCTTAGATATGAATATTGCTTAACTGTGAACAGGCAAGTCTATGATTCAAACAATTCAAGTGGTCCCTACTGTAATAATTATTCAACAAAAATGTGGAACAGAAACATCACAAGATGAGAATAGTTGGACAAAAGCATGAAGACTTATTTGAACAACTTACTTTGCCAAGACGCTAAACTTTATTTCTTTTTTCTTTGGCCTCCGGGTCTCATCATGCCAGATATGTGTTTTCCATGCATCCACCTTTAAAAAAAAAAAAAAAAGTTAAGCTTCAGGCAAAAAATGTATAATAATAAATACACAATTTGTGTATCTTTGAAATGGTCAGATTGAATAGAATCTGTATGTACAATCCACTGTGTACAAACACGGGATCCGTCTCTGTAGCATTAAATTGCACTTTACTTACAGCTTGAGACTTCAACAGAACTAACATAACCTTCCACAGTATAACAGGTATTGCCTGCTATTTATGAATCTCTTTAGTGAACTTGCATTAACCAAGGCTTTTCATTCAGACTTCTTCAGGTCCCACATTATCATCTGCACTGCTGAAGTTGTCTACTAGAATCATTTTTTTTTCAGATAATGTGTACCTGGTAGTAATAGAAAGGAGTGAGAACATAGTTCAACATCTCCTGGTGGAACACGGGGGTTATGCTCCCTGACATAGGAGGTACAATCCACACCCAGTCAGCCGGGCAGCCTCCTCGCGCACGGTACTCATTCTGCATGTATTTCATGAAGGACTCCGCAGCTGAGTGGTGATCCATGATAGTCACATTTTGTTTCTAGAATAATTGCAAAAAGAAAAAAAATAAAAATCCCATTCTGCTCTTCTTCCTGATGTAGTTAAAGTCATCCTTTTGCTTTGGTTTATATTTCAAGGACTTTCTACAATGCTGGGAAATAATTACTATCCGCAACTATTACTAGTCTTGCGCAGATCGAGGTGGACCTTTGCTTAAGGACTCAAGGACACTTCAGTCTTTTTTTGTCTTTTTTTTTTTTTTTTGAACATCTGCATTTTACCTCTGCAGGGCTGGCAGTGCATGCTGAAAAGTCTCTGATTCATTTTCACCTATCTTTTATATTGTTATGATATGTTAAATAAACTGTAATTGTAAATAAAATATATAATCCAGTGGCTTTACTTAGATTTTGACCCTTAGACGTGTTAAAAGAATGAGCAATCTTGTCCTTAACTTCCTTTGATTTTTCTGTCCCTTCTACCTTCACCTGAGATTTTTTTTCTGGCACCAACAGGAAATATGGATTGCTCTACTTTCTCAGGTGCAAATCAAGGATAAGTCGATGGCAATCACACTGATAACCTCCACTGAGCACTGGTCCACTGCACTCCATTCGTGCATTTGTATATGTGAAAGGAAAAAGGCACACCCAGTATTCAGTGCCTCTCCAGATCCCACACTCGTTGACTTACTTGGAAGCTATGAAGCACAGCCACATTTATCTCCACAACAGCTCGGTCTTTCCATAACGACGAAAGTTTGTTTGTTTCCAGCCCCATTCTTCTTCCTACCTCCTACATGTGAAGAAGACAGAGAAAAGGGAAAAGCAAATTTACTATGTGGGACTTAGACCTCATGATTTCTCCACTTGATCATATTAATATGCAGGAAAAAGTATTGTGGGACGGGGAAGAGTCAGTCCTATGCTGGGGAAAGCGATAGCCGCAGAAACGTTTGAGATTAGAGGTAAACTTGAGTTATGAAGTTCTGGTTCTTGAGGCTATTCCAGTTTGGTAAAGCAGGGAGTGGTTCTCTTCTGGACTAAATGGTTTAAGAAGTGGTAGTATCTGGCTATAAGTTATCATTATTAATTTGTACTGGTGAGGTGCCCAAGACCTGCAGCTAACCACCAGGACTACTTGTCAACAGCAGACTGGAACCGACCTAAATTTACCTCTGAAAAATGTACAGTCAGAGACCAAAAGTCCTGAATCAGCAGGATTTAGGGTAAAATTGGGGAAGAATTCCCTTTGGACAGCATTTTTTGTACTGTCAGAACACTGTAAAAACAGTCATACAATCTGGCAGTCATAATCTTGGCAGAAACTCAAGATGTCCCAAATAGTCAGGATACTGTGTCAGATTAGCACTGAAGTGTTAGTGTGATGGAAATACAACACCCATCCCAGCAGAGACTGACAGTGTCTCTTTCAAAAACGCTCCACCCCTCAAGTTCATTCCCTTCTCAAATCAACACACTTCTGCTTCAGGAGATTACCTTCAGGATGTTGTATCGCTGCACATCACAGAAGTCTCGCACTCCTATCTCCGTCCCCATGTACCAGCCGTTGAAAGGACACCCAGTAAATTCCAGGCCTCCCACCTCAAGAAGCATGTTGGCAACAGCAGGCAGCGCGTACCACTTCAGATCTAACTCCTTAAACCATTCATACCTGTTAAATGAGCATTTTGGTTTATTACTTTATGTGTCGTTTCCTCCTCTAGGCAATAACCAGAAAAGTCCAGGAATATAAAGCGTACTAACTCTAGGAGAAATGACCCATGACTCACAGTCTGCAAAAGCTCATAGCAGTTTTCACTTACAATGTGGTAAACTGGGAATTGCCTGCTAAAGAAATTGCAGAACAGTATTACAGAGCTCTGCAATCTGCAGGTCAGTCCCAAAGCAAACATGAAGAAAAAAAAAACCAGATGAAAAGGCAATAAATATTTTGAGTGCAGCCACATTTTCATGTGTATTACACCAGCATAAGAAATGATGATTTTTAAAATTCTGAATATAATTGAAATATAGATTGGGAAAAAAAGATTTCCAACAAAAATGCTTTTAGCTTCCCTAATTTAAATCTCATTTCATTGTTCTAACAAGAATTTTATCTTTTAGGATAATTTACCATAATTTCATCCTAACAAAGAACTCATAAAATGACTGCCACAGGCGCAGGCTAATCACCTGCCAAGGTGAGGCAGGGGCAAAAACGCAATTATCTAAATCTTTTGTGCTTACTTTGGATGTTCCATTGGCACTTCGAGGACAATTTCTGGCGGGTATTCAAATATTTCTGGGTCTTGGCCATTTGCTTGGAGAACAAGTGGAACTACATCAAAGCGGCCATATTTCGGCTTCCACCCAAGCTCAATGCACAACTATAAAGAAAGTACGTTTCAGGGTTTTTTTAAGGTATTTCCCCCCCTTGATTTGAAGACAAAAGAATGTTAACCCTCTAAAACCTGCTGAGGTAAATTCTGATTCTCTCTCCCTTTCAAACAACACCAAGCCATGTTGTTCAAGTACTGATTGTGTCCCTGACTTAAGGGGAGCTTTAGCTCACCCTGTTCTGAAACGGAGGGCAGTATTTTATATCAGGATTGTAAGAACTTATTGCTTCAGCCTGCACCTAGAACCTGTGGGGCAGAACATCCCCTTCACTCCTTACCGCCACGCTTCCCTCCCACTCTGCATAAACACGCAAGAAAGAGAGACAGGTTCGGCGAGATGGAAAGCAGCTGCGGTTCTGTACTGGGAACTGTACCTGTGTGAACTCCACACTGGCCGGGTCTCCTACAATAGACCCATCTGGCATTTGATATCCAGCGTATCGGATGAGCTGGCTGTTCCAAACACGGAAATCGTGTTTCCCATCAGTTCTCTGGGGGAAGATAGTGATGGCTGATCTGCCCAGAGAGACAATCAAATCCCGTTACACCACAGCAGCACATCAAACACATTTCTAATTATCAAGACATAAATTGTTACCAACAATTATTTTGTGTTTCTAAAATAAACATCACTAGAAAAAAAAAAAATTATTCATCCTCTCTACCGACCTCCCTGAATCTTCAAATCATCTCTTTTCTCCAGGAATTGCAAAAGATTTTGCAACAAAATTACAAAATTTCAAAATGGTTGATGGTACACGAAAGGAACACATAAGTACCAGGAGAATGAAGAGCAGAGACAAGTTGTCAAAATATTTAGATAGACCATTTCAGGTCTTATGCAGAGTTTTATATCCAGATCCGGACGTGATTTTTGTTGTTTAAAATTAAAATTGAAGAGACCTACCTTATATTTCCATTGTTTGTGGCATACTGAATATGACGACAGATATGCTCAAACATTTCCTTCGCTGTTTTGCAGTCACGTGCATCAAATACCTGTAAGTTTCCAAAGGAAACAATGAAAAAAACTGTACTGTAAGCTCAGTAAGTGAAATGAAAAATCAGTATTTATCAATTTAATTGTAGCTCTACTAGAACAGGTTCATTTTTATTGTTCTTATGTGCATCATTTTCACAAGTAACAATCCTCCAAGGACCTGGTTCCATGACATAGTTAGTTCCTATACACAGGTTTTCACTCAACTATGAAGCAGAGAACTACGAAAAAAATGTTGATCTTATATGTACGGGAGGGAGTAGTCCTCAGTTGAATCAACTGGCACATTTTACTGATGTAAAGGATATTCTTCTGATTTACAGCAGACGACTATTTGGCCCATAATGTCTAGACGCAGAGGTTACCTGCAGATTGGACCACTGGATTCTCCCAATACACCTAGGCGCATTCCTCCAGGCCTGTTTGGCAGCAAAGATCAGTTCATCCTTCGTCAGATGGTAGGTTCCTGTTGTTTCTATCTCCTTGGTCACTGTTTCCAGTCGCTCCAGGTGTTCTTCTATTTTTGGCCTTTTGAACAGGAAACAGCCACGGAAAGAAACAATGAGAATTTCATTACTTAGAACTGATTTAAATCACAGACATTCTTCTTATGTTCTGGGTCAAAAGCAGCACAGGCATTGCTGAAGCCATAAACCTTTTGAGCATCCTTTTGCACAAGATGACTTCTACTTACATCGCTGATTTTGTGTGTGAGGATGCAAGTGGATTTGGAGGGAGGGGATTAGCATCTGTGCAGGCTGAGATATGGCAAGTTTGGATAAACACTGAGAGACCTGTCCCTGTCACAAATCTACACTCTCTGGATGGGAAACAGGTCAACAAAAAATACTCTGTTCTTATGAAAACATCCATCACCTCATGAAGTCAGCAATTTCACTGTGCTTCGGCAGTGAGAAATCAGTCATCTGCTCCCCACCTCCCCTCTGCTGCACCATGCTTTTGTGTGCATAGCTGTGCATAGCATAGCTGTTGTCTGTAGCAGCAGTCCAGAGTCCGAGATTTTTATCAGAAAGCAGGGGGTATTCTACATAAAAGGATGAATTAAGTACATAGCACTCTGATTGAGGACTGCTGAGGCGAATTTTTCCTGTCTTCAGAATTGAGGAACTGTCCTTACTGAGCTGACTAGCCTAACAAAGAAACTAACACGCTAGAAATTAACTAATGATGCCATCCTTTCACCATCCAACACATACATGGATTGATGACAAGCTTTTCTGTGTAAGTTTTCAGTCTAAATTTGGATTTTCTAGATTAGTTTGGAAAAAATTGTCAGATCACAAGTAAACGAAAAGTAGAGAACACACTAGCTTCAGCCCAGAAGTAGGATTACAGTGACATTCCTCTCAAAGCTCCATTATTTTCACAGGGACACAGCTCTTCTGAACAAAGTAAGTAGGATTTTCATTCCTAAAAAAAAAAAGTGCTGAGCAATTCCTTTGTCAGGGAATCCAACTCTAAAATTCTTTAGCTTGATAACAGAGAATGAAGTCAAAACATTAGGAAATATCTGTCACAGCACAGACAAAAATTGTTTTGTTGAGAATGAAAATAGCCTGCACTGTCTGAGAGTTTTCACATTTTCAACAAGATGAAAGATCAAGGGCAAGTATGTAAGATAGCGTAAATCAATGTGATCAAATAGCCATGAGCAGAAACATGGAGATGTGCAAACGTAATACACTAGCAAGTGAGTACAGCCTCTGTGCAAGACAGGGACTTTCAAAAAGATTCAGATGGAAGAAAGCTTTGTAGAAGAGTTCAAAGTGTCTAAAGAAGTAGCCATTATTTGGCTGAGTCCCTTTGAAAGTCTGATAATTTTTTTTATAATGAGATGAGCAAACATTGAATTGTCACTTGCAAGCTTCTCATGTGAAAACTTTGTCACTGCAAACCCCTGGACCTCAACCAGATGCTCCAGCTTTTCCTGCAACAAGGAGCCTCTGCACCACGTCCATTTTTGTAAAAGCACAAACCTCTTTTCTGAAGCTAGAGCATCCCTCTCAGCATGCTCAGTAAGCTTATGTTGATGATAGCACAGAGCAAGGTTGAGAAGCAAGAGGCTGGCCTTCCAATCTTTAGCTAAAGCCTTGAGAGTCAAAACAGAGAACAAAAGAACACAGAGAAAAGATACTTGGAACAGCACAAACAAAAAGCATTATCCACATTATTCACGTCTAAGGCTGATCTGAGTAGGAGCTAACCCCATTAACATCCAAGGAGAAGAAAACAGAAGGTAACATTCTGTAAGAGTCCTGACCAAGCTGCTTCTTATAAACGAAATACAATATAACACACTCAGAAGATATGGGGCTGAGGAATGCACTGTACAGAGTCTATTTCTGTATTCTCAAGAGCTGGGATTGGCAGATACAGCATATAAAGTCCAGTAATATTTACTTTTCTAACAGTCCTTATCTATTGTTTGAATGCATGTGATTTAACGCGATAGTTACCAATAGCTGTGAAGAAACCAAGCACTCCTATCATCTCACAGACAGGTGGGTAGGTAGAGGTCTTTTATACCAAAAGCAAAGGTAAAGTTGGCTTACTCTTTAAATGAATTGTAGTATTGCTTGATAAACTCTATTGCTTGAGGTAAAAGCTCTGCTGGTGGAACTGGCCCATCTCTAGTACCTTTCACCAGGCCCTTTGGGGTCATGAGTGCCCCTTGGCAGGCTTTGGTCCTGCAGTTGATAACCTGAAATACAATAACATGCCAAAACCCAATGTTGCACTCTGTATCTTTTCAAAGTTATGAAAAATCACTGTTAAGGTTTCCATATGGTACCTCCTTTGCCGTCAGGTGTAGCGTGTCAAGAAAGCTGGATCCATTTTCCAAGTTTCTTACTTTTACGTGTCTCGGACATCTTGATATTTGGTTTGAGGCTTTCATACCATTTGGGGCAGGGTTCTGGGCAGAGGGAAGATAAAAATACATACTGTCTTCAGACCTATTAATTATCTTAAAGCTTCATTTTATATTTTATTTGACCATTAAAATGCTACAAATTAAATTCAAGAAGCTAGGTGTAAACATGACCTTCTCTAACATGAGTATTTATTAATTTGAGTACAAAACTATTGACCGAATCCACAGTTTGATATGAAATAGGGAAAAAGTATTTTTGTACTAATCAAACAGTATCTGCGAATGCAAACACCTTTTAAATTTCAATAAGGCCTCTTAACATAATGGTCACAGTCTCAGGAAAACAGCCAACCAGACAATTCTAGAGAAAGGACATGTTTGTTACTAAAGGCTGCATTTTCAAAGGTGAATAAAGGGAGCAGGAACTACAGCAGCCCTAACCTCATGTATCCACAGTTAGTCCTCACAGGAGAACTTTGAGAAATTTTGAGCGGTAAGCACAACCATGTGAACTGTTAGTATCAAATGATGACGCTAGAAACAGACCTCTCTCCCATCACTGGCCTTTGCTGAAGTTATGATAGGCGGCATCTCTGTTCGCTTCTTGCTTAGATCATATAATTTGGCTTCATCATTTTTTAAGCTTTAAAAAAGAGAAAGACAATTCAGTATAATGCAATGTGCTTCATTCTTGTTAGTTTTACCTGCAGCATTAGTAAGGGAGATGCTGAGAGCTGTCTCTGAAAGACGTACTGAGTCAATACGCCAACCATTTGCAGCAGTGTGCGGGGTGGAATGGACTAGAAGTCAACAGTAAAGCTACAAACACCCTTTCCAGATCACTATGTTGGAAGGAAAACAACAGATGTGGCCTGGAACGGTAAAGGCTGAGTATCACCGCTGTGAGCTGAACAAAGGACATCTGTACAGTTATGATCTGGCCAGAAAATACTCAGAGGAAATAAACAAAGAGATTGAAATCTTCAGGGAAATGTGTGAAAATTTCAGCTAGGTTCAGTCTCCAGCTTATTAAGCAAATAATATACTTCTATATTAATTTCCTTTGTTTTCTGCATTAGGTCTTCCTTTCTGAACTCCTACTTTTTAATTTGGGTATCAGGTTTCAGAAGATGTTGAAAAACACCTGAGAGGCATCCAGACCACAAACTCCAAACCAAACCCTTAGTTTGGAGAGGGCAGTAATATGTTTTAGCTAGCAGAACGTATGTGATCACCCACTTCCACTAGTCAGCTTCACATATCTTCACATCTGAGTATCAGCTACTTTAAGCAATGGCAGGAAAGAGCAGGGTACGGGCAGAGAAAGAGATGGTATGCATTAGAAAACTGAAATGAGTAACAGCCTGAAAACTGAGAAATTTAATATGCCTGTGCACTTTATTTTATACAGTGTCTTGTATAAACTGTATTACAGAAATACTCTACCAACTTAATTACAGCATTACTAATCAATTTGCTAATTTTTACAGCATACACATGCCTCCTAAGTCTTAGCATACATGAAACCATTATAACACACCAAATAAATTTAGAACGATGAAAGAGAAAGCAAGATGATTTCTTTCCTCAATGATTGTGTAACTTAGACACAAAAGCTTAAACGTACCTTACCAAGTCAACACACCCAGTGTCCCCCGGGGACCACTGCTCTTTGGTTAATACGATTGCTCTGGAAACACACTATATGTTTCTCCAGAACCTATGTCAATATCTTTCCTTTTCAAATGAAAGAGAATTATGAAGCCATTAAAAGACAAAGATCTTACCTGTGGATGTCCCTATTTTTCTCCACGTTATTATTGATATCCTTCTCTTCAGAGGACTGGTTCTTAGCAGCACGAGGCTTGAATACAAACTGCCACGGGCACAACATTTTGTACGCTTTATTGATGATTTGAGTTCACAGTGCTGAAATCTTGCTTCCTGTGATGTGGGAACACTTCTGAGGAGGGAAAAAAAAACCAAGGTCAGTTTTTGACTAAGAAGGCAACTCCCTTTAAAACAGCTCAGAAAGTCACCAGACGAACTGATCTGATCTAATTAACTTCCTGTTTTAAAAAAGGAAAATTATTTGACTCTTAGAGTAGTGATACTAAAACTAACAGTTACCTTTGTCAGGGTAATGCTGCAGCCACGCCTTATTTTAAAAGACTGACAAAAGAATCTCAAATGTCCCCCAGCTGCATAAACCAGCAAATGCCAGTATCTAAGAAAAACACATGCATGCTTCACTTCTATGAAAAGCATGCCTTGACATTTGGCTTTTTTAAGTTCTGTGTTTTTCAAGAGTTTGTTAAGTGTTATTAAATGTTAAATATTCTGTTAATTCACATCACTATATATTAGCTAGAAAAAGGGATGTAAAATGTTATTTGTACAGTAATAAAAAAAAATTGGACTGTAAATTAACCAAAATGTTTTGCAATGTATTCATCTACCAGAGACAAATGGAATTCTGAGATTCTGTATTTTGTAAGATAGATATACATAGCATATATTTGAATGTACAATATACATAAGAACGTAGAAAGTTTAATGCTATTCATTTGAACATGCATTTTCTGCTAATTTCTGATCATAGAATAGATTTTTGCGCCAGGCAAGGTGTGACAGGAGAAAAAGAGCAAACTACTAAATTGCTAGGTAAAGCAGAATTAGCCTTGACATTTGAGTCTGTTTCATAACAGAAATCAAAAAACAGATGTTTCAAAAAAATTAAAGATAAAGAAAGAAAATACACATTGCCACATAATCTTGATGAAAATTACATATGATGTTATTATTTATATTATTTTTTCGGTAAAAGTAAAATTTGTATTGCTGGGTTCCAAAGATGCTGTCAGCTGTAAAATAATGCAAGAAAAGCATGTAACTACCTGTGAAGTAACTGTAAGGTGCCATTACTCCAGGTAAAAGAAATAGTGTGTAATAAGTATTTCTCTACCGTTACTAAATAGGAACAAAGCTAAATTGTTATTCTGCAATAAAAAAAGTTGCAATGTGTCTAACATTTTTGTAAAACACAGGGGAAAATGAGAGAAGGAAAGGATGGGGGAGAGAAAGAAAGAAAGAAAGAAAGAATGTCAGAAAGAAAAAGTTAGAAAGATAAAGAGAAAGAGAAAAAATAGAAAAAGAGAAACAAAAACCAGAAAAAAAAGACCAATATACAAAAAGAAAAGTTAAGAAAGATAAAAAATAAAGAGGAAAAATTAAAATAATTAAAAAATTAAAAGAATATGAAAAATAAAAACACTGGCATTCAGAGTAAGAACTTCCTTGCTTTTTGTGTTCACAACAAGGTTAAGTAACATTTACAATATTACCTGCTACATGCACAAACCTTTAAATCAGCAGAAAGTTTTCAGAGCAGCAGGACAGCCTGGAAATAAAGCAGGAGACCGACTCCAACACCTCACTCCTAATATGGAAAAAAACCCAAAACACCCCAAAGAGTCTGGCATAGAATTACTTTGCTTCCAGCTGCAGTAAATGAATGGCAACCCGCACACTGAAACACAGCACTGTCTTCAGTGTTTTTGGGAGAGATCTGCCCAAACCTGCGAGGAGATGGTCTTCTCCCTCCAGGTTTCTTTCCTTTAATCTCTCCTGCTCTGTGTCCCTCCTGTGAGGCAAAAGCATTTTATACTCCAGGGCCGCGTATGCAAAGCAGCCGAGCAGGGCTTGCCCGTGGCCAGTGGACAGCGGGGGAATCCCAAGGCGCCCGTCTTCCGAGCCGGAGGGCGTGTGGCTGGTGTGCCGCCGCGGCATGACATCACGCGTGTGACGGAGGGCGAGCGCTGAGTCGTTCCTGAGGCCGGGAACGTGGCCCCCTCCTTGCACAGCCTCCTGTAAACTTGATTTCTACACATGCTCAGTGACAAGGACAGTGTATCACATGGACCAGTTTTTGCAACCTTGCAGGCAACGTTGAAAAAAAAAAAAAAAAATTTTCCGAACAAACCCCTGGAAGTTTTACCCCGGGGCGGCTGGCCCTTCTCCTTCTCCTACACATGAAACTAGCAGCTGCAGAAAGAGAGTCTATGACTTATAAAGCACTTCAAGAGAAGTTTTACAGAGCCATAGAGCTCTAGGCTATGGACCAGTAAAGCATTTAAACAGGTCATTATAACTAAGAACAGGTGGTTTAAGTTTAACATAAATATATTACTTCCTTATTTTTGATCAAGTTTTAACGGATCTTTCTCAGGAGAGTATTTGTGGATTTTCTTGCTCTCCAGAGCTCCCTATTCTATCTGTTGCTGCCTGTGAGTTTGCCCCTTTGTGCTTTTCCAACATACTAAAAAAACTGTCTGGAAACTGCAACTCGCGGAAGTATGAACTATTCACACCATGTTGTACGTGTGAGCACCAGAAGGACAGCTAGATGATGAAGACTGTGTGATTGAGCTAATTTTCAATTTTAGACAACATGTAGACATTTACATATTACAAAACTAGGTTTCTACCTGTGGTCTGAAAGCCACAAGCCACCCGGAGCCAAGGGTGGTGGTGGCACGCAGCATGCAGAGCTGGCAGGCAACTGCAGGCTCAGGAACGCTGCGGTGTGCCAGCACACGCGCAAGGATTTTGGCCCGCATTATTTGTTCGTTGATATTATGGATGACTATTTCAAGGAAGCTACTTAGAACTGTTTTCAAATTAAAGCCAATTCTTAAATCTGCTGACTAATACAAGGTCAAAATCATTACAATAATAACTAGAGAAAGATAGACAGGTGCTGACCAAAGATATACAGAAATAAGGCGTAAGGTGGCAAGAGAAACAGGGAACGGCACATTCTCCTTTTATCTATCACATTTTTACTGGACAAGGTTGGGCAAAGCATTTTCTTCTTTCTGAGTCTAGCTTCTCTATTTAAAAATTCACATGAAATGCTTGTGTAAAGCACTCCTAGAGATAAACTGAGTTATGTGCACATGTGTTCATGTATAAATACACCTGTATGTATCCCATCCAGCGCTGCTAGAGGTGAATCTCTTGAAAAACAGACTCAAGTTTTCTTAGTTTGAGCATTCAGCTGCTTCACTGTATCAAGCCTATGCTTCTTTGTATTCACTGCTCACAAATGTTCAAGCTCAGATTTTTTTTTTTTCTTCTTTCTTTTTTATTTGATGCCCTTCCTCTTACTGGAATTATCACTTGACAGCCCTTTGTTTAAAATATTCCAGACATCTGACCAGCAGGCAGAAATCACATGTGAGCTGTGTGACCCAATGCCATGCCACAAATTTCTACCTTGCTTCTGGTCCATGACAGCTTTTCCCAAACCAGACAGACAGTTGTAATTGCTCCAACGTGAATACAACTCTGTGTATCGCAAGGGCCAAATCGAAGGTGCTTGACCTGAAAGGAAACTTCAGACTTCAAAGAACAAGATTACACTCTTCTTTACATTTGCTGTTTTGTCAGGGTTTAAAAATTCTATTTCCATTCTTCCTTTTCTTATTAAATCTGACCTCTCTTTTCTACAGAACATGGGGAATCTTAATGTCTAGTATTGTAAAAAATAACATATCTTAGTAGAAATTTAAGTGAGTTCAATTACATCCACTGGTTTCTAAGCTTTTTATTCATCCTCCTTATTTCCCTGTGCTTGGAGACA